AGGTCAAGGTTGGTTCAAAGGCTGTGCCCAGCTGGTATACTTCCTGTCCTAGATGCGAAGCGAGGTTCCCCTGCACGCGATCCGTGTGGGTTTGGCATTTTGAGGGTACCCCTTGTTTGTAGCTTCAAAGAGAAACCAAAAGGAAACTGCCCTTTTTGGGAGCCTAAAATAAAGACAGACCCATGTATGGTACCAGCAGGAAGTGTACCTCTGCGTAAGTGGCCTGTAACACACATCCCTTTTGTGACTAGTAGATGATGTATTTCATGAGGGCTAGCCCTTGATTGTTTCCGACTCAGCGGCAACTAGGACCATGATTCTGTGAATGTGCTCTCACCTTTAAGGTGTGTGTGCGTGTGTTTTTGTTGAGGAGTACAGTACAGCTTTTGTAAGCAAAGAAACCTTGCGGCCAAAACATGCGTGTTACATGCAACCCTCGTGAGCGAGCCTGTAACTGTAGAAATCTATTCAAAAGACTAAACCCTAAAGACCCGAACCCTATACCCCCAGAATGCCTGAACTCTAAACCCTAAAACCCAGAAGGAAGAAAACCTCGACGCAAGCAACAACCGGTCCAAAGCCCTCCTTTGTCAGGGTATTGCTTGGAAATACCAACAAAATCGCCCTTCTTGTTCAGGGTCTTGCTTGGAAATACCCCAAAAAACACTCGCACGGCTTCCACAGCGCTCGCACAGCAAAGCAGTGCGGAACGCTGGTGAAATACAAAAAAAAAAACAAGAAGAAGATAAGAGACCGGGTCTCGGGTGGGCACGGGGTTGGGATGTTCTAGTGAATCCCAGGCCCGCGGCCCGGAGGAAGCGGGCGAGACCTCCGTTGGCTGAAATGGGTTCGACGTTTCGTTTCCCGGGTCGGTTTCAAAGTTTTAGGTTTTTTTTGTGTTCGCTGTTCTGGAAATGTGAGGTTTTTTTTTCCAGGGGGCTTCGGCAAATGGAAGAAGACCGAAGACCGACATCGGGATTAAAGCTGAAACACGACTATATATATATATATAAGCCTTCACCGTTTTGGTGGAAAGGCAACAACAGGATCGCAGGGCTCGGTAGGTTTCTGTACATCGGACATGGGTGAAATTTGAGCACAGCAGTACCAGACATTCAGCCTACTTGGCAACCTGAGTAGGGTTAGGGTTGCATGGTTTGGGATCGAGTAAGCATTCAAATCGTTGGAACATGAAATCGGAGTTTGGGCCTTTGTAGTCTTCAGCGTGGCGTTGTAGATCCTTCCGGGTAAGGTCCTGCTGGAAATGCAGCGGGTGCCGTTGCATTTGACGAAGCGTTGACTTTCATCTTGAGGTGAAGAGCGTCAATCACAATGCGTGGCTTTGGTGTGACCACGCTGCCTCAGAGCTGTTGAATTCAAATGTAAAAAAAGAAGCTTACAACAGGTTAGATATTGCTCAGAAGGAGCAACCCAGAATGTACCGGTTCGTGCGTTTGTTTCTTAGGATTGTGTCTAGCAGGATGGGATGGAATGCACCCAGCAGAGTCTTCCTGCACTATGAAGTTGGATGTTCACTTGCCCAGTGGAGATGGTTTCTCTGTAGAAGTCTCACCGACGACACTCATCAGCGAGCTGAAGGTTGCCGCGCAGCAGCATTTCCAGCGCCGGCTGAAGCTCACTCTAAACCCTAAACCCTAAACCCTAAACCCTAAACCCAAAAGGCCAGCAGCTTGATTTGACAGCCACGGTGAGCAAGTCCGGGTTGGGAGATGGGGACGTGGTGGTTGCAGTTGCGCAGCTTGGCAAGTTGGCCGCCACTGCACAAGCGTTTGCTTTGCATGGGCATGGACCCGGGGTCGTGACCTGGGGTGATCCAGAGAATGGTGGAGACAGCAGCCGGGTGCAAGAGCAGCTGAGGAACGTCCAGCGCATCCGAGCAACTGGCCGCGCTTTTGCTGCCATTCTTGAATCTTTGGCTGTTGTGACATGCGGTAGTCATAAATATGGCGGAGACAGCAGCCAGGTGCAATAGGAGCTGAGGAATGTCCAGCACATCCAAGCAACTGGTGGTCCGTTTGGTAGTGCCGGGGCTGTTGTGACATGGGGTAGTCATAAATATGGCGGAGACAGCAGCCAGGTGCAACAGGAGCTGAGGAATGTCCAGCACATCCAAGCAACTGGTGGTCCGTTTGGTAGTGCCTTCGCTGCCATTCTTGGAGCTGGGGCTGTTGTGACCTGGGGTCCTTTAGAATTCGGCGGAGACAGCAGCCGGGTGCAAGAGCAGCTGAGGAACGTCCAGCACATCCAAGCAACTGGCCGCGCTTTTGCTGCCATTCTTGAATCTGGGGCTGTCGTGACCTGGGGTCCTTCAGAATACGGTGGAGACAGCAGCCATGTGCAAGAGAAGCTGAGCAATGTCCAGCACATCCAAGCAACTGGTAGCCCCTTTGGTAGTGCCTTCGCTGCCATTCTTGAATCTGGGGCTGTTGTTACCTGGGGTCATCCAGCATTCGGCGGAGACAGCAGCCACGTGCAAGAGCAGCTGAGGAACGTCCAGCACATCCAAGCAGCGCTTTTGCTGCCATTCTTAAATCTGGGGGTGTTGTGACCTGGGGTAATCCACAATGGGGTGGAGACAGCAGTCAGGTGCAAGATGAGCTGAAGAATGTCCAGCGCATTCAAGCAACTGCCGGAGGTTTTGCTGCCATTCTTGAATCTGGGGCTGTTGTGACCTGGGGTCTTCCAGAATTCGGTGGAGACAGCAGTCAGGTTCAAGAGAAGCTGAATAATGTCCAGCGCATTCAAGCAACTGCTGGAGGTTTTGCTGCCATTCTTGAATCTGGGGCTGTTGTGACCTGGGGTCTTCCAGAATTCGGTGGAGACAGCAGCCAGGTTCAAGAGAAGCTGAATAATGTGAAGCATATACAGGCAACTGCCCGTGCTTTTGCTGCCATTTTGGAATCTGGTGCCGTTGTGACCTGGGGTGATCCAGAATTTGGTGGAGACAGCAGCCAGGTGCACGAGCAGCTGAGGCATGTCCAGTGCATCCAAGCAACTGACGATGCTTTTGCAGCCATTCTTGAATCTGGGGCAGTTGTGACCTGGGGGAATCCAGAATGCGGCGCAGACATCAGCCAGGTGCAAGCGCAGAGTAGCTTGTAGGTTTGTGCTGTTGCAGCTTGGACGTCGCAAGTGGTGCTGAGCGAAAGGATCAACAGGTGAAGTACACAGCTCAATTGCTGAATTCGCATCTGAAGTGTGTCTCAGAGTTCAGATCTGGGGTGTCCGAATCCACCAGCGACGTCGGCTCGACGTGCACATGTTGAGAAACCGTGTGAGGTGTTGTGGTATCGGTATCCCTGTGTTGAATGCCCTGCCATCCATGCTCCCCCAGCATGCATGTGCCTTACCAAAGTGGGGGACAGTTGAGATATGCCGGTCCCCATGATGAAGGACGCACCCCGCACAACTCAAGTTGAATGATGTTTGCCGATGGGTAAGTGTCAAAATAGGGGGCCCGTCTCAAAACAACACCCCCAGAGAAACCCTCCTATCGGGTTTGATGCTGTGTAAAGACCACTTGCTGCTTGGAGCATATTGACCAGGATTTTATGTTTGGAAGTGCAAAGCGACCCTCCCAGCAAGCTTTTCCTAAATTGGTTGAGCGCTTTCTTAGTTGCTGGGAGGGTACCCCGGTGGCCCCAAACCCCCCCCCCCCCCTGGCCGCTGAAGTAGAGAGCTCTGCTTGGCTTGGTCTGGATTGCAGGGCCCACATCAACCTTTGGCATTTTCGTTCAACCAAGGCTGGAATCCATTTGGAGATTCCCAATTTGGGACCGGATGGGGTTCAATCAGAAATGCTACATTTGGTGACAAGTTAGGTTTGTTCACTTGCCCAGAGATGGTTTCTCCAGAGTCTCAGCGACGGCACCAGACAAAGCTCTCAAAACAACATGACACCATGAATTCTTGAACTCAAACAGAAAACCCAGGAAAGTCAGAAAGAAGCATAAGTGACTTGGCGAGGACACTTGAACCCCGTAAACCTTGACCCATAAGCCCCCCAAACCCCCAGGAACGTTCCTATGCCCCAAAAAAGTAACATGGCAAGCTCGAACACCCAGAACTCCAACCCTCAAACCCAAAAAGCCTGCCTAAGCCCTCAACCCAAAAAGCCGAAGCCCTAAGACCATACACCCTAAAAGCCCACCAGACAAGTATAACCACTAAAAACCCGAAAGGAACCTAAAATCCTAAACACAACATAAGAACCCTAAAGACCCAAGCCATAAAAAGACCGTGTGACGACACATATGTTTTGCGCGAAACCTCCTAAGCCAAAGGCAATTGACGGGCCAAACCGCATCTGTCCTTGTCTGCACGCGGCTTAAAGGGAGGCCTGTTCAATTGTTTGTAAGGATGGACGACATGCCATACGACCTGAATTGCTCAGTTCACCTTACTCTCAAGTGCTCACCAGCCAGCCAGCTGTTGGCCAGCCGGATAAGACCTTCACTCCGGGGCAACAGACAGGGCGATCACATCTTCAAGCAACCAGATGAAGACAGACAACTACATCAGCTGATGGTTGCGTTTGCCTCAAGTACTGGGCCATTTCAGGGGACCGCCGCGCCGCATTTTACCAGGAGCCCGGGGTTTGCGGAAGGGTTTCTCATACCCCTTGGGTAAGCGACCTGGCTGGTCTTATTCACCTCCCAGTCCCCAAAAGCCGATTGGAAACCAGGGCAGTTGCAGAAGGGGAGTGCTCTCTTAGAACCTGAGCCTTTCGGAGTGCATTGTTTGGCCGTGGGTCAACACCAATGGTACGATTTTGGGGTAGGTGCATCACCCGTTTTAGTCTATTTTAGTGGGGATTGGGATGTTCACTGGGGGATAACCGGGGTTTTGACCCATAGCCGTTTCCCTGACTCGCTTGCGGTCTCGCCAGCCTGCTTCTTTCCTGGAGCGACCGGGGCCTCCGCCCTCGGGCGTGGGTGTGGCGACCTCAGAAAACGAAGCGGACTAGGTCTCTCAGGGATGGGGGTGTCTTAAAATATTGGGCCCAGTGGTTTTCTTTGGGTCTCCCTTGAAACCAACCCCCAAACGGGTACCTTCGAAAACGACAACTCGTATATACCTCTTGTGGGGCTTCAAAGGAAAAACTAGTTTGGAAGCCACGCATTTCAGAGCATTTCGAGAAGGAACAAGTGTGGGGTCGGTTGTTTGGTTCTCAGTTGGCAATGACTTGGAATGACCCCAAGCTGACCGGTCTCTCGTGATTTCCTTCAGGCATCCCTGTCTTCCCCAAACTGGCAAGCTTGACACAAGTCCTTTGCACCGCGGTGTGTGTTGATCTTTTTTTGACTTGTGCTTGTTCGTGTCGGAGTTTTCACATGCAAGCCTGGTTGTGATTTTGAACCGGAGCAGCGTGGAGTTGATTGGGCCTGAAACGAACTCGTGTCCTTGTACACGCAGGAGCATTCGGGAGAATTCATTGAGCCTAGAATTATTGACATGTGTTGTTGGTCCAGATGCAAGGGCGCCCTGAATCGATGTGCGCTGCAGCTGATGCACGATGGATTCGCAGATGTGAGTGTGTCAAGAAAAAGTACTCTAAGTGGCAGATGTCCAGAAAAAATGCAAGATCAACAGTTGACATCAATGGATGTGGCGAGGGGGATGCAGCCTGGAATTCCAAATGCCTGCCCACTTTCCCTTGTGGGAAGATAAGACATGGAATTGGGGAACCCCCACGCCCCCATTTAATTCGGCGCTTCAGTTTTGGGGTAGGGGATTTGTGGCCAAGTCTTTGGTGCATTTTGCTTGGATGTTAGGACCTTAACTTTTTGCCAACTAGTGGGTTTTCCACTAAGCCACCAAAAGTTAGTCACTTTTAGCAGGGCTTCGCAGATTTCGCCACCGAGAAATGCTCCGCCCACGTTGTCGCCGAGGAGCGGGCCCTGGAAGCGGCGCTGGCACGTGTGGCAGCCGTGGCCTAAATCTGGGAAGCTAGCCGCCGGCATGGGAGCGATGGTGTCGGGCTTAAGGCAGACAAGGCAAGAGATGGGAACCCCTGCATCAGAAAAGCAGACGAAGCTCGGTCAACATTGACATGGGCAGGTATCAAACGTACTTGAAGTCATATATGACCCCAATCTGCTCACTAAACAAAATCCTCGCTGGCGACAAGCAAAGACGCCTGCGCATGGCTCGGATGGTTACCAAGGCAAAGTAGTCTTTGAAACTAGCAAAGGCGTTCTTCTGCCTTAATTTAATACAACTACCAAAAAGGTCCGATGGATTTCACAAGTTCCCATCTCAGAAGAATGGCTCACCAATGCAAGGTGAATTCAGAGACGCAAAGATTCAGGATATTATGAATACAATAGTTATGCATAGCATCCGTGTGTAATGATACTCGTACTATGTTAAGGGGCCATTGTCGAGGGTATATATGTACCAGTCCTGGGCCACGTACCCCCCCCCCCCCAATGGTATCCCCCACTCCCCTGCATCATCTGCATCTGGGGGATGATGCTGGCAATGCTGGGGATGCTGTCCAGTACCGTGTGAGCTCTGCAGCTTCGGTCCCAGACTCCCCCTTTCACCCCGTGAACCAACACCCCAGCACCTCTCGCTACCCTAAACCAAACCACCCTGCAACCCCTCCTTAACCCCAACCCTAAGCCTAAATCAACCCAAACCCCAAAACCACCCGAAACCCACCGCAAACCAACCCTGAACCAACCCTAAACCAACCCACCAAGCCTAAACCAACTCCGAACCACACCCCAACCACCCAACCACCCAACCACCCCACCACCCCACCACCCCACCACCCCACCACCCCACCACCCCACCACCCCACCACCACCCCACCACCCCACCACCCCACCACCCCACCACCCCACCACCCCACCACCCCACCACACCCACCCCCACCACCCCACCACCCCACCCCACAGGGGGGGGGGATTGGGGGGGGGGGGAGGGGGCGGGGGGTTCACGGTCTGGAACATATATGTTCACAAGGGGCTACGGCTTAATAAGGTCTAATAGGATTTTTTGGAGGCCCCTTTGGGGGTACTAACTTTGGCTTATTCATTTACACGTTGGACAAAGCACCCTTGAGCTGGACAATGTGTCAAGCACAACTGGAAGACTGAGTGAACAATGGCTGACCTAAGCGTCACCTGCCAGTCCCTTCGCTGTTTGAACATGGTTGGAAGTTGCTCAGTTTGCCTGGGGCTTGAAGGAGCGCCGGGCAGTAAGTTGCAACTGTCAATCCATTGTCTATATGGACATCCGACTGAATTCCATCATCTTCGGCCTGCGTGAAATGCATCGCATTTGGAATTGAACATTCTACATTCCTGCCATGGGCAAAGCTTGCCAAACGCTGTGTTTGGCATTGCAGAGTAAGTGATGGCTTGCTGGGCCGAGGTGCTTTCGCCCACCTTGCAAGATGAGGAAGTGCTGCTTGGATGAATTGAAGTCGTCACTGCTGGCTTCACTTGAAAATGCTTAAGGACCTGAGGGTTTGCTTGTGGGTAGATGATTGAGCTGTCTTCAAGCTTCTGCCTTCTGACTGGTTTCAATGAATGAGGTCCCAACATGTGTAAATTATGCTCGAAGTGTGTTGACCCCTTTGTGGTTAGGCAGGCAAACTCTCAGGTGACGCAATGATGCTATTGATATCCAGCGAGGCCGTCCCCTGAAGCTCAGTGACTGTCAATAGAGTTTCCATGCACTCGACGGAAGTCAAGCGGCTCCATGTAACAATGCAAGCCAGCTTTGCGACTCCTTTCTTTCCATCAAATGCTCACGAGGGCAGATGCGGCGGGCACCGTTTCGATTAGTAGCAAAACCGCATGGCCATTGGCGACTTGCCTCTCAAGCTTTGCATCGCAAGGCCTGTCCACCAGAAGACATATCATGGGCATTGGGACCAAGCCACAGCCTGTTGTAAAAATGCCACAGCCTATTTAAATTTGTTGCCAGCTTGCTTGTTTGGAGGCAAGGGTAGCTTTGCTTCTTTGGTGCTTACGATACACTCGCATGAGTTGCTGGGGAACCAGCAAGCTTCCCTGAACATTGCCAAGGAAACGCTGAGGTCACATGTACTACCATATAGTCACTGGACCCTTTCTGAGGAGTTGCTATAGGGATCATAAGTTTCTCGAACATCTCAAGCTCCTCATCCAGCCGTCCCCTGGCAGATGTTCACCATGAACCTCGGTCGACCGGCCCAAAATGGCCAATGCTAGCTATACAGCGGAGCATTGCCGTATAAGCTTTTTGTTCTTCATTGACTGCTGAAACATGCGTCCTTCGCAGCTTTTCGTGTTCAATTCCTAGGATCCAACAGCTGGGAACGACCGTCCTCTGGACATGGCTCAGGCTTACGCTTTGTTTAGGCGTCATATATTTGATGACATCCGCAGGGAATGGAAAGAAGGCATGGCAACGCTGTGGGGCAGGGTTGGGCAATCATGATTTTAGCAACCAGACCCTGGTTAATTAGGGAGCCTAAAAGGAGACTGTTTATGCATTGCACTGGTCGACATTTTCGGTCTGAGCGAAACCGCCATTCATTTCCCGAGGCATGGCTTCGTGAACCTGCTCACCTCCATGCGCTTGCCGGAAGGCACCTTGCGGAGAAATGGATTTCGCGAAAAGGGCGTGCGGCTTCCTTTCAGGCTACCCGTTTCAGATTGGTTTAAAGGGAAATCCAAGGGAAAACCGGCATTTTGGCGGGCGGCCTATTTTGACACGTACCCAAACGAGCTAGTTTGAAGGGGAGTGAAAATTGCCCAAAGAAATGAAGTGCCCAGGGGGGAGAGGCGGTCTTTCTTGGCTCCGCTGAGAGGATTCCAGAACATTGTTCTTTGAATGGCTCGGCTTCGATAGTCACTAGGTCGAGGGTTTTGTTTATGTTAATGTTGTTGAAGGTCCTCTTACTTGAAGGCAGAGCGCATGGGAGGATGCCGCTGCTGAATACCTTCAACCGCATCTCAAGCTCACTGCGCAAGAGGCACACTGGGCAAAGCAAAGAGACCAGCTTGGACCTGCACAAAGACAGCCGCAAGAAGCTGCGGTGCCTATAGCGAACGCCATGAACCGCCAAATGCACCTGAGGGTCCAGGGATCTTGCGAAGCTCCGAACGAGAGCTCGCTCGCCTTCGTAGGGTCGGGGCACCAGCTAAGAAACCCGTCCCATGTACCAATGTGGTGCAGGAATTCGTCCATGCAAAGTATGAACCTTCTGGTTTGGTGCTAGCACACTAGTTAAACGCTATAGCGCGGGTCGAACGTCACGTCAATGATTTCGCGATCAAGCATGGTGTCGCATTCTAGAGGTTCAACTCTGCACGCTCGCGAGTCGGCGTCCCAATCCACTTCACAGCGTTTCCACGGCGGCTTTCTTGCACGGAAACAACTCAGCAGCGACATGCTGCCTTCATGATCTGAAAGATTTGCACGCACACACCCAACCCACGCCTGCGCGCGCAGACACACAGACACACCGAGACAGGCACGCACAAATGCACAAACCCTTGGTGACATGTGCGTGATGTGCATTTTGCTCGGCTACGCATTGCGGTGTCCTTGCTTTCTCGGCAACAGGCAGAGGTTTACGACAGGCTTCATGATGGACTCGCTAGAGTCCAGTTTGATGTGGAAATCTGAAGCAAACCTTCGTGGCTCCGAGCCATCCCCTTTGCTTTTCAAGTGTTTGTGGTTTAGTGGCTGCTAGTTTCCATTTAACCCACTAAACGTTAAACTTTTAGCAGGGCATCAGTTTGGACAGCCCATAAACAGAAACACTACGCGGGCGGAACTCAGCATGTAGCATGAGAAGGAACCTTAGAGAAATCTAGCCAGCCGCTGGGCTAAGCTCCAGTTGGAGCTGCTAGGTTTTGATTTGTTTGCTTGCAGTAAAAAGTTTGTAGCAGGTAATGTTGCCCCCATGAGGGTGTCCCTGGTTTTGCTGGGGGATTCAGAGCACTTTTGGAGGGGTCCCCACCCCCGTAGTAAAACACTGCGGGTTATTAATATGGGGTCAGCATTACGCAGATGTTTGCATGCCAAATGCGAGCTGCGGATTATATCATGCATTCGGCAGGCCATCCGGTGGGAAATGTTCTAGCTAGTCCACGTGCATGAACCACTCGACGATTTCACGTGTGATGGATGGCTCTTTTCGAAAATGTTTGAGAGCCATCACAAGCATTGCGACGGGAAGCATATGTGTGACTCGTGCTTTGGGAGTTTGATCATGGGCATTGAGTTAAAACAAATGCTCTTCCGGGGATCCAAAGGGCTATTGTTGACCAACGGAAAGCAAGAAGTCGGAGCGGGTCCGCAACACTTGGGCCAGTGCCCTCCACATTTGGGCTCTTTTCTCAGTCCAGGTGGCCGACCTTTTGGCTGGTTTGTTTCAACCATTTGTTTCTGACGTCTTGGCTCATTTCAACCATTTCAACCGTTTGTTTCAACCTTTTGGCTAGGTTTGTCATCCAGAATTGTTACTATTTCATGTCAGATTTGGTGAACACGAGCCCTTCTGGTGTTCTGCAGCTATCAAACAAAGGGTCCCTCTGTGCAGGATCCGCTCAGCAGATCTACGAAGCAGCAGCAGAGCGTGGCTTAACGCCAGCGAAAGATGCGAAAGATTCAAAAGATGCGGCTCGGGGCACCCTCCTATTCCCTAACACATGCAGACCTTCCCAAAAGGTCCAGAGACCTTTTTTCGTCAGGTCCCATGTTAGGGTAGAAGGCACTTTCTTCAAGCATGATGTCAATCAACGTTGAGAAAGTGAATGCGCCTGTTCCAACTTCGCATTGGCTCCAGTTGGTTCAACCAGTTGCAGCAAGGCTACAAGGACAGCCGGGTATGTGGCAAAATAGGGGAACCCCAAAATGAACTTCGATGTTCCTGTTTGTTTCCCTTCAACACCTACAACAAGGTTGGTACCCTTAAAACGGCACACCCATGTGAGCCAATTTATACATATTGATGCTTGCATTTGGTAAAGGTGGTGCTTGGATCCGCGCCGAGTGGGCTAGCCTTCCCAACGACCCAAATTCCCGTACATATCACGTACTCCACACCCCAACACGCACACACACACACACACACACATACACAAAAGTCCAACAGCCCCCAGCTGGACATTGAGATTCTCGCAGAGCACAGATGCCATTCATGAGTCAGAGCAACATCTCCCAGCTGTGTTTCTGTTCATTCCGATGCACAACTGAAGAGCTCATGAGTTCATGGCATGCGAGGCGGGTGCGCACGCGGGATCTCGTGGGCCTAGACACCACTGTTGCTTGTGCTTTAGGGTCGTCAATGATTCTGCACGAATACTGCGTGACTTAACTTGAGCCAGTTGTTTGCATGATCCAAATGATTGTTCAACAGGTCTGTCTAACAGGGGAAGTCAGGAAAGACACCTAATGTTGAGCCCGGAAAATCCACCTGGTGGATTATTGGGGTCGTGGTCGGCCCAGAATGGGAAGAAATGAAAAGGAAGAGGCCAATTTCGGGGTCCAGTTTCTGCAATCACTACAAGAATGGGTCATTTTGGTTGGTGGGTGTATTTTTCTGTCTGGGGTGACGGACCCTCAATTTGCGTGGAACCAGTGGAAGCAGGGAAATGGTTTTTAATTTGGGGGTGGAGGCTTAAAGAGCTATGCTGGAGCTATGTTGGAGCTGCGCGGTTCAGGGCTTCAGCTTGGGAGTTCCTTTTCCTTCTTTGTGGCTTGTTCTCTCCCTCTTTCGCGCTCATCTTGTGAGAAGCTAATCGTCATGTTCTTTCTGATTTATTTTGCTTATTATTGAGTTTCCCCTTTCCTTGGCAGTTACCAGAAGTCCAATCCTTTTGGCCAAGAGGGCGGCGGGATTAAAACGAGACAAGACGAGCTCAGCGTGACGAAGGATTTGTTTCCCGGGTTGCTCGTCTGATTACAAATTGCTTGATCCGTTCAGATCCTTTGCGTGCGCTTTTGGCAGGTGTGCTCTTTCGGCAGGCTGGGCAGCTTGGGTTCCGAAGTTGAGGGGTTGCATTTGTATGGTCAGCGGAACTGCGGCAAAGCCATTGTGTGCTCGCCTCGCCGCAGAGTTGGGCCAGTTGTTGGCTTGCCAGCCAACACAAACCCTCACATGCCCTGCCCCCTTCTTTTCTAGTGTGCCTTCTTGACTTGCTGCAGCAGTGTGTGTGTGTGTGTGTGGGTTAGGTTTGAGATCTAATTGTGAGAGCTGCTTTGCTCTTGTCCCACCCGCCCACCCGTTCTTGCTACCAGCCCATGTCCTGCTATGTTGCCCATTTGCTGTCCCATGGGTTGGCTGGGTTTGTGAGAAGGTTCTTGCCACCGGCCCATGTGCTGCTGTGTGGCCCATCTGCTGGCCCATGGGCTGGCTTGGTTTGTGAGAGGTTTGTTAGTCTGCTAGCCCAAGTGCTGGCTTTTGGGGCTGTGGGGCCTGCCATTGGGTGCCTCCCCATGGCAGGCCACCCTTGTGTTTCCACCATTGCGTGAAAAAAGGGGCGCAGCATGTTGAGGGTTCGGTAAGCTCTTTTTGTTTGTTGGCATGTCCTGCATCCTTTTTTTGCTTTGCCTCATGGAAGCCAAGCATCTCATTTTGCTGTAGCAGCAAGCCTAGCATTGGTCTTGTTGTTGGTGAACAATGTCCCTCGGAAACCGCAAGCGTTGCTGGCCGAGAATTCTCCTCTCCAACGGAAGATCAGATGTGCGGTGCGAGCTCACTTGCACTTGCGGTGGTTACAACTTTTGGCTTACCGAACAATGTTTTGTTTTTGCCATGGTGGGGGACACACAGGACCCCAATCATGGCGTTGTTTGTCTTGTTGCTGGAGGTAAGCAGCCCAATTGTTTAGCCGCCATGTAATTTTGAGACTTTCATGAGCAGGCCTGATCGTAAACGGCATTCAAAACCAAAGGGTGGGAAGCTGTGTCGGGCTCCTCTAGTTTGCAAAACATGCAATGACCTAGCTGGGCTTAATTTATCTTGCGTTGTCCCCTTGCCCATTTCAGCGGATGCTCTGAGATCCCATCATTTGCTGGTCCTCTCGGAAGAAAAGCGCCCTGTGAACTCGTGGCACCAGGCGTGGAGACGCGCCCCAGGCGCGGACAAGTTTGACCGATGTCAGGCCATCCGAAGATCTGCGAGAGGCATCGCTGGTTTTGACACATTCTCCAACCACTTTGCCCAGCCAAACATCAAGCACGAGCGCACCGCTTTATAGCTTTACTTTAAATCCGCATGTAGCACTTGCGCCCAGCCTGAACTGGCGGTTCCCGCGGGGGAGAGATGGAGGGCCCCAAGGCATCGTTGGTTGCCAACATAGTGGGCCTGTATGTTTTCGGATTTCCGCGGAGTCGCGCGCATTGCTTGATGGTTGGTCATGCTGAAGATCGCACAGCATGCTGCAGGCGCATGCTTGTGCTGGAAGCCAGTGCCATTTGTGCGGTCGTGGCCTAAGCGATCTTTGACAAATCGAGGGATTGGTACCCTTCCTTTGGCTGACTTGGACTCTGCCATGGGCTTTCGTTCAGATGAGTTCTATGCAGGGAGCCCAAAAATTCCTCCCAAGGGGGGGAGGGTATTTCTGTTTGCTTTGTCAACAAAGTCCTTCATTTCCCTGTCTATACGAGCGGAGAAGAAAAGATGTTCTAGGATGGGTTGAAATCAGACAAAGTATTTTGGTTGGTGCTCATTGCTGGGCGTCCCTTTTCAAATACCCTTCCTGGAACCCCGAACGGCCACTTTTTTTCGGTCATTTCGCCTGGTTTTTGCCCGTAAGGTTGTTTTTTCGGTCATTTGCCTGATTTGCCCGTATTTGGCCGTATAAAACCCGCATTTGATCGATAAAATATTGAACACAAACCGAAGAAACACGTATTTTGCCGTAGGACCACTTTTGGGGGGGCAAAGCCTTTTGACCAAAAAGAAAAACGCCTGTTGGGGCTCCAGGTTCACTTTCCTGGGTGCACCCAATCCTCCCAGGTCTCGGATCAGAGGTCGCAGGGAAATCGGAGTCCGTAGAGAAAACCAGGAGACATGCCGCGCCTCCATGTTCCGAGTCTCTGAAGGAAGCACTTCACTTGGAGAGTCAATTGAGGTATGCCCGCAGCCGACCTTCAGGCGCAGTCGCACTTGTTGAGTTTACTAAAAGTGACAAGGTTCAGATGGCTTTTGGGTAGGTCAAGCGGATTCTGCCAAGCAAGATAGCTAGGATTAAGGAGAGCGCAGTTGCGAGGGAATCTAAAACACCCATGCTGTCCATTGTATCCTAGGCCAAGTGTTGGCCCAAAAACTTGATGTTGACATCGGATGAATGAACTCTTCCCCCTGCCCCCTGCCCCCCCTCCTCAGAAGGCCAAACCTCGCTGTTAAACGAAGTCCGAGCAAGAAGGTGGTCTGGAGAAGGTAAGTGGGCCACCGGATTGAGGATGCATCCGGAAATTAGACAAAGTGTTAATTGGGCCGGAATGAAAATCAATTTATGTTGCGGCAAAATGATTCTGACGAACGCTCCATACGAAGTAGGGGTGATCCCAGAAGAGTTTAGAATTGTTAGTAGTGGATCCCGAAAACGCGTGTTGTGATCAGTGGCATCTATTAATCCAACGCTAACCCTACGCGCAAGACGCAGGGTTCGCTGTCGCCTCCGCACGAGCCCGCCTTGAACGCTGCCTGCTATGGTCTTCTGTCACTCACACTCAGCGTGGACAGAAAGGATTGGCAGTTCACGGGAACTCAGCATTTTGGCTCGCGAACACTGAGCTATTGCATTGTATTCAGGCATTCACCATGCACATTTCTCCGCGGGAAAGCACCCCTGGGGCTCGCTCGAATGTCTCCAACCGAGTGGCTTTTTCTGTACAACGCCAATGCTTCCAGAACACTGACAAATCCGCCAATGGGAGAAACCTCTAAACGGGGGGCTTTCATCCAACCCCCAAGCTGTTCAGCTATTCAAAGATTTCAAGTCGGGATTGTAAGTTTAGCCA